GTGGGCGAGGACTTTACCTGCGATTGGCTGGTTAACTTCGGAGCGATGTCCAACCCATGTGGGTGGCAAGAAACCTAGTTCCTGCTTTGATCATCGTGTCATATGCCCTGCCCTGGCTTTGTTGCTGGTCAGTATGGGTGTAGTACCCAGGGGTACCCAGCTCCAACAGCAAGAAGGATTTTCTCATACACTCTGTCCCCAGTCCCAGGAGCCTGGAGAGCCTCTTGATCTTTCCCTTGGTTGTTCACAGCCAGGGCAAAGGTGGCCTGCTGGAAATCGCACCTTTGTTTGTGCAGCGCAAGGCAGTTCACAAAGGACTGCTTTCACCCAAGTTATCTCCTCTGGCTGCTCACTGCCGCCTCTGGCGAGAGTGGGTGTGGTTATCCCCACTTTGCAGATGAGGGAACTGAGGCTCAGAGGGGTCAAGCGAGTTACCAAGATCACAGGGTTGGCCAGGCGCCCAAAGTTTCGAAGTCCAAGTCCTTTCACATCACCAAAGATTGCCCTGTGCTTCACTCCAAGTCTTCGCTGTTAGCTTCAGTGTCCGGACAGCTGTTAGATGTGAATAGTACTGGGGACGCTATGAGTTTCCTCCTAGCTGTTGTCAGCTCTCATCTTGTAGCCTTTTAAAATTCCATTTGCAAGGTTTCCAAAGTCTAAATCACATGCCTCACTTAGGCAGGTGTCTGAATTCATGCAGGCAGAAAGGGATCCCCACGTACCTGGCCCTCGAAAAAGTAAGATTTTTGGTTCCTTCTGAGCCACACACCATGCCTTGTGCCTTTGCAGGCATTATTTCAAGTAATGTACAGGCAACACTGTGAGGTGGATTGCATTATTTGCCCATTTTGCCAGTGAGCTGGAACGTGAGGCTCAGAGAGGTTAACTCACTTGTCTGAGGCAGAGCTTGGGGAAGCAGTACAGGTGGAATTTCAAACCCAGACAGTCTGACTCTAAAGCCACAACCCTTCCCTGCCAGATGTCCGTGTGTCATCTCTGTCTTGGAACAAGAGAGATCCTCAGAGCTGAAGTCTGGGTCATATATGGTCACTGGTGATCAGCTATGTGACGTATAATGACCGAGGTCTCTTCCACCCCTACCCAACCCCTGTTCTCTTTCAGATTGACCCCAAGGTGGCCTTTCCTCGAAGAGCACAGCCTAAGGTACGTGTGTTTCTGCCTGGGAGCAGCTCTGTAACCATGGACAACTGGGCAGGGATTTTCCCCAGCATTCCTTCCTATGGAAGTTGCTTCTGAAACCTCTGTTTGGAGTGTTTCCAGGATGGTCTGGGGTGGGAGGTAGGGGTATTGTTGATGTTCTTGCTCTGTGGCTTGTGTTCTGGGATGGACTTATCACAGGCTAGGTGGGAGGGACTGCATGTTTTGAAAGGAGCAACCCTTGGCGGAGGAGGGGGTGAATTCATTGCTCTCTGTATTTGATGCCAGTACAGTTTGGACCCTGAGTCTAATTCTGAATTCATAAAGTAAAGCCTGTGTAACTTGTATTTGGGGGCCAAACTCAAGACAGACTTACTCCAATAACCCTCCTACGTTGGGGATAAGCTCTGATGGAGCCTGGCAATAAATCCCACCTTTCGCTGGGCCCTGGGTACCCTGTCACCTGCTGTCTCTCAATCTCAGTGGCTGTGGCTGCTCTCACACATGTCTTCTGCTGGCACTCTGGCACATGTTTCTGGTGGCGTGTAGAGAGGGATGGCAGAAAAGTGCAGAAAATGAATTTCTGAGCAGTAGAACTTTTTTTGGTGGGGGACAGGAGCATAAGATTCTATTCCCGGCTTGGGGCAACTAGCCAGATTAAATTTAAAAGTTTAAAAGTTAAACTTAAAACTTAAAAGTCCAATACAGATACAGGGGTTTGGAGGGAAAGTGGATCATATAGTACAGAGGGTACAGGACCCCTGAGCTGGCAGATGTTTGTGTCCTAGGATGAGGCCCCTCTCCAGGAGACCTCACTTTTCCCTTTTGCAAAGGGTTGGTGGCAGATAGAGGGCTTTAAGATTCTAAGCCAGGTGGAATCCCTCCATGGAGAAGGGAAACGAACAAGTTTAAGGAGCCAGGAAAGGGACATTCGGCACAGGGTCCAACCAAGGACCTGAAAGTAATTACGGAGCAGGTATTCCAAGGCCGGCCGCACCAGGGAGCACATGGTCAGAATTGGGTTAATTCCATTAAGGAGTTTGGTGACAGAAGGAGCTTTAGTGTTAGGATGGGGCTGGGAATTGCCTCGGATTAGCCATGCACTCCTGGGGTAATTAGGACCATGTGTTCTTCCTGAAACAGGCTGGGGCTATGGGGCTGCCAGAGGTTGAGTTGGGAGGAGAGTGGTGAGGAAAATGTCAGCCTTGAGTTCAGGGAGACCCTGTGATGGGCCTTGGCTTCGCCTAAAGGAGCTGTTAGGTTTTGGGGTCACTGATCACCACCCCTTTTCCTGGTCTTAGGAAGGCATTTTCCAGACACAGACCCCCAAGGGAAGAAGACAGGCAGGAGGCCAGCCAGGGTGTGGGGTGCACAGCTGCCCGTGACAGGCCTAGAGGCGGGAGGTCTGAGGCAGAGCTTGGGGGGCATTCAGAGAGGCTGGGGTCACAGAGAGCTTGTCAGCTGGCATCCTGGCAGGGGGGTTGATCCCCTGCTGGTGGCGGTAGGCCACGCGACTCAGATGCCCACTTTCTCCTTCCCACCCCTAACAGATGGTGACTCGAACGAAGAAGATCTTTGTGGGGGGGCTGTCAGTGAACACCACGGTGGAGGATGTGAAGCAGTATTTTGAACAGTTCGGGAAGGTTGGTCCATGTGGGGGGACATCTGGGTAACCTTGTAGCGTTGGGGTCCCACCAGATCACACCAATACCTGCAAATAGGAAAGTGTGGGCAAGCCCTTCTGTGGGTGAGGCCGGGCCAAATCCATGATGCAGACTCACAGGCTGCTTAGGGACCTCAGACTCCGGACAGGTCCCTGGGGGAGGAAGCCACAGAGTGGCTGTCCCAGTTGTTGCCCTTGCCTGTGTTTTTCTCTTGCTTATCTTCACTCTCCTGAGGGAGGCTGTGCTCCCATTACCAGTTCAATCCAGCCACCCCTGGGCCTCCTGGGAGTTTGCACCTGTCCAGGCCAGCGACAATTGGTTGTACCTTCCCCCCACGTCTTCCTGGCCAGGATGATAATGAAGCAATAAATATAACTCGTGGTTGCACTCAGCACCCTGCTTGCCCAGGCTGCGTGCTTAGGGCAAAGTGGGGTGACTTGGGTTGAAGAGAGCACCCTAAATCCCCGACCAGGCCCAGAGAGCTGGCTCTGAAGAACCCTGTTCAGGCTATGAAGAGATAGAGGGTGGGGTGAAACCTGGCTATAGGATGTCAATTTCCAGAAAGGTGAGCAGTATGGACAACAAGGTCCCAAGGGGAGACAGCGATGAAGAGCCCAAGCTATGAGTCTGGGGGTGAAAAAGGGTTGGTCTCTCTAGTTAGTGCGATGGGTTAGAGACCGGATCTCCGCTTTTCCACCCAGGAAAAGGGTGAAGAGGAACAAGGCTTGAGAAATGGGAGGATAGGGGTCCTCTGGCCTGCACGTAATGGGGTGGGTGTGGGGACTCCGGCGCCCCCATGGGGACCTAGGTGCGGGACGCAGGCCAGACCAGGCCAGGCCAGGCCGAGCCCCAGAGGGAAGGGCGCTCCTGGGAAGCAGCAGGCCCGCTCGGCTCCGGCGGGGTGTCTTTGTGTCTGAGCGCTGAGCATTAGAGCCCGCACTAATCTGATCCAGCAGCTGTGATTGGAGGCCGCCTGCCCCCGGGGCCGGCGTTGCTATGACAACCGGGCCCCAGGAGAAGCCGTCAGCGGCCGCGTCTTTTGTTCGGGCCTAAATCGGCGTTGGCATGTGAAACCGGCCCGGGGAGGCCAGGGGGAGCCGGAGAATAGGCTGCCAGGGAGCGAGGGGGACAGCCGGGAATGCCAAGGGCCCCGCGACAGGGGGCTCCCCGCCCGGATCCAGGGGCCGCCGCCGAGGGGGGAACAATGGTCAGCCGCCATGGCTGCCACTCAGGCTTAGCAGCCGCCGAACTTGGCAGCACCCACTGGTCAGCGAGCTTCGGCCGCCTCCCCTCCCCCCCAAGTCCCCCTGCCCCTAGGTTCCCATGGAGACCAAAGCCTATTAAGGACACTGGGCTGGTAGCCTCCCTCCCCTCAGCTGGCCCCAGGGAGGAGACACAAGTGGGGGGACCCTGGGCCTCCAGCCACTTTACTTGTCCCCTCCCCTGGTGTCCACCCCACAGGCCCACTCAGGGGTCCTCTCACAAGGTCTAGGTTGAGGGGTCTGAGGGGTGGGCGGGATGGTGAAATGGAAGGTTAGGTGGAGGAAAATGGGTGGAACCAGGGATTTGACTGGATTAGTTTGTGGGTCATATAGGAACTCAAACCTGAAGGTTCGAGAGGAGGGTGTGGCTGGTGGCGACATTCATCCATTTGTTCCATCAACAAATAATTATTGAGCACCATTTACAAGTCAGGTGCTCAATAGGGGGATGGTCTTAAATGGCACAGCCTCTGCCCTGATAGAATCTTGTAAGTCATAGATCTTGGCCGGGTCTTCAGTTTTGCCACTATCTGTCCATGTGACTATGGGCATATCTGCTGCCCATAATAAGATCATCATTAGCATTCATTATTAAGTACTTGTTGCATCCTGGTACTGGTACTGTGAGTTAAGAGATTTATATGTACTATGTCATTGAATTCCTTCCTATAAGATAGACGGAATCCCTGGGTGATGCTACCAACCAAAAGACTGGAGGTTCCTTTTGGTTAGGTGCCTTGGAAGAAAGACCTGGCAATCTCTTTGGAGTTGTTCGGCCAAGGAAGAGTCAGCCACTGAAAACCCTGTGAACATAGTTCTACTCTGACACACATGGGGTTACCATGAATTGAAATTGCCTCATGGACAACTGAATTAATAAGACAGATCCAGTTTGTGGAAATGAGAATATCTGAGATATCGTAGTTGTTGTTATTTAGTGCCGTCAAGTCGATTCTGATCCATAGTATAGAGTTTCCAAGGAGTGAATGGTGAATTTGAACCACCAACCTTGTGGTTCAAACCGACCTTGCTGTCCTGAGCTTATCCTATACCAGGACTCTTATTTGAGATACACTGGCTTAGGTTGGGTAGCCATGATTTCAGATTTCAGTTTCTTATCTGAAAGTCAGAGTCTATTTTTTCTATTAAAAAATTTTTTTGTAATTCGTTTATTTGAGATATACTGGGTTAATATATCTCAATTACAGGATCCAGGATTCTAGTTTGGGGTTACCTTATTCAAAATGTGCACTTGGAACATAACTTTCCTTCCTGTGTTTCTGGTTTCTCTTGGTGAAGTCAGGGAGGGAGTGGGGAAGAAGTTTTTGAGCCTGAAAGGTCTGCCCAGCTTGGACTATCTCACCAGATTGGTGTTGGGACTAAAGTTGAGTCCTTGGGAGGGAGGGAGGAGGGAGGCACTCTGCTGTCCCCAGGACAAGAGACACCTTGGGGAGGCAGATGTCATTTTTCTCTAACTCAGTGGAGTCCTGGTTCTTCCATGGGAGAGTCAGAAGCCAGGTGCATCTTGGGGCCTTAAGAGAGCTGAAGGATCACCCTAGTGCAAGATCTTTCTCTTCCACCTGAATGAGACAGACCCTTTGAAGTCAGATGGCAAGCCTGAAAAGAGAAGGAAGGACAGTCAGAAAAAGGTTGTATTCCAAGGCCCCAGGATCCTTTTCATTAGGTACTTGGCCAGTTGGGGGAGAGTGAATCAGACATTTGAAGAATTCAAGAGTTAGGAGAAGGCAGCAGGTGTGGGCAAAGAGAGGGAGGTAGGACTGAGAAGAGAAGCTAAGTCTTTGGCTGTCTGCATATATGGAAGGAAATGCCTGTAGGGAGTAGCAAGAAGAGAAGTCTGGGGCTCAAGAGTGTGTGGTGATGTAAATCTACCCCTTCCTCGATCCATTTCCCCTCCCCCAGTCAGTGGGAGGCCCACAGCCCAGGCTCTGAACTCTACTTGCTTTAATTACAGCCTGTAGCAAAAGGAAACCTCCATCAGAGGAAAAGATGTGAACCAGGAAAGGGGAGTTGAGTCTGACTGGTGTGGCTGCTGTCCTCCTGTTTTTTTGGGACACAGGGAAAAGGTTTTGTCTTCCCCTTCTCACTCCTCCTGCACCTATGCAATCCCATTTTCTAGCACCCTCTTTCCGACTGACTCCTCTTCCTCCCTCCTTGGCCTAGGACTTGCTGTGTGACCCTGGGTGATCTACTTCACCTCTCTGAGTCAGTTTCCTTTATCTGCAAAATGGGGCAGATATGTGAGAATGTGGCAAAGATGATGCTTATAAAGTTTGTGGGGCAAAGTGCCAGGCACGTGGTAGGAACTTTTATGGATAGAAGCTGGTCCATTGAGTAGCCAGGCAGCTGGATGGGTTGCAGATGGAAAGTTGTCCCCTGCCTAGAGAGCAGGCTTCAGATAAAGTCTGGACTGGACTAAGGAATGGGTATAGGCATCCCTGCTTTTGGGTTGTGGCGGTGTGTGTGGGGAGGGGGAGGTTGGTACCTGGTGGGTCCTCCATGGCAGTCTTTGTTTCAGGTAGATGATGCTATGCTGATGTTTGACAAAACCACCAATCGGCACCGAGGTGAGTACGGGCCCCCTCCCCCTTCCTAAGCTGGTTGGGGGCCTGTGGTCAGCCAGGGGGCTGCAGGTCACAGCTGCCCTTTCATCTTGCCTCTTGACATCCTATCCCTGAGGATCTGCATCCTCTCCCGGGCCTGGCCTTATAGAAGGCTTTTGTCCCGCCTGTTTCCTGTGCTAGAAACTTGTCCAGTTGTAGACACAGGAGAAGAAAAGAGGAGCGCCCCCCTCCCTTCCCACAAGCCCCCAAATTGAGCCAAACCGACCTCCCTGGATCCTGGTAACTGGAGCCTGAGCCCAGACTAGGCCACCCCAGGGTTGGGGTCAGACAGACTCCACAGCCCCATCAGTCTGCTGCCACCAGGCCAAGTCCATCCCCCTCTCCTTGCACTGAGCCTCTGAGCATCCGGGCCACTGTGGAGAGGCAGCCAGGTGTTTTTTCTTCCAAGGGCCTTGACTCTCATCAATCCCATTTGGGTCCCTTGAACATACCCCGAGGCTGTTTCTCTAGTTATTTGGGACTTTGGGTCTCTCCACCTTTTTTGAGAGTGGTGTGTGTTCCGTGTGTGTGTGTGTGTGTGTGTGTGTGTGTGTGTGTGTGTGTGTGTATGTGTGTGTGTATCTGTACATATGAGGGTGTCTAAATCTGTGTGCTTGTTTCATGTATCAGGGTAATGAAAAACATGTGAGAGGGTGCCCTGTGAGTGTCTGTGATAGGTGGGGTACCTGGGTGTGAGTGTGTGCGTCTGCCAAATGTGTTTGCATGTGTATGTCTTTGTGTAACTTTAGCTAAAGGTGTATGTATGTTCTTTTTTCCCTCTTTGGAAAATATTCAAACAGAAGAGGCATGTTGAGAGAATTCTCAGCACAGCTCTGTTACTTTCTGACTTGCTGGGTGACCTGTGGCAAATCACTTCACTTTGCTGAGCCTCAGTTTTCTTGTCTGTAATTTGGGTAGTTGAAGTTACTAGGCCGATAGTCGAGCTTCTCATTAGATACTTGCCTGCAAAGGAGGAATGGTACTGGCGTAACTTGGGGTTGCAGTATGATTCTGACCCTGCCTTTGCTCCTTGGCCTCTAGGGTTCGGTTTTGTCACGTTTGAGAGTGAGGACATCGTGGAGAAAGTGTGTGAAATCCATTTCCATGAAATCAACAACAAAATGGTGAGCTAGGCCTGAATACGAACAGGAGCAAAGGGACTGGGGCTGCTGACTGAGCCAGCCTGGGAAGCTAGTACATTCCTGAGCTGCGAAGGGGTCTCACAGCCAGAGGAGCAATGCCAGAGTCCCCACGCTCTGAAAATCTATACAGGGAAGTTGTGCCACATGACTGTTAAAAAGCATGGCTTGTGATCTGTTCTGTAAACCTCCACTCAATTCCCAATAAAAAGGTTTTTTTAAGAAGAAAAAAGAAAGCTAGCTTGTGATGTCAGAGAGATCTGGATTTCTAGCCTCACTTAACCCTTGCTAGTATGGCCATTGGGCAGATTCGCTTTCTTTTTCCAAGCCTCACTTTCCTTCTCTGTCAAATGGAGGTGACAGTCCATGATAGAAATGACATACACATGATGAAATATCACATGCAAAGCTGTTTACATACATAGTGAGCATGCTATGGAATGAGTAGAAGCCCTGGTTGTACAAATGGTTAATTCACATGGCTGTTAACCAAAAGGCTGAGGCTTCAAGTCCATCCAGAGGTACCTAGAAAGAAAGGTCTGGCAAATGAGCCATTGGGGGGGAAACCCAATTCTGCTGTGTCACACATGGGGTCACCAAAAGTAGAAATCTACTAAACAGCAAGTGGTAGGTACATGGTAAAAAGGTCCTCCAGGGAGCAGAGGTAGTGGCCTTCAGCTGGTGAAAGGGACTGATGTCTCAGACTCTCATTGCAGGTGGAATGTAAAAAAGCTCAGCCAAAAGAAGTGATGTCGCCAACCGGCTCTGCCCGGGGGAGGTCTCGAGTCATGCCCTACGGGATGGACGCCTTTATGCTGGGCATCGGCATGCTGGGTAGGTGCCTATGTCTGGCTTCTTCCTGCCCAGAACCACTCCTGGGGCTGCCCAGGGTACGCGGGGGCAGTGCGTCTTCTCTGTGTTCTGACCTGTCTGAGTCACTAGACAGGAGGGAGCTATCCGGAGCCCAAGTTCAGCAGTTCCACGAAGGGTGGGGTGGTTTGGTTGGGTGACACTGCCCTCTGCTGGTAGCCAGAAGAAGGAGCCATTTGCTCCATATTAATGGAGTCCTTCCATCTGTGTTGAAGCCGTGGTGTGGCGCTGTGGGTTAATGCACTGGACTGTAAAGTTGCTTTGAACTGGAAGGTTGGCGGTTCAAGCTCACGAGTCTCTGCTTGGAAACCCTATACAGGCTAACTATAGGTTAGAATCAACTCGACGGCACTTCATATCATAACCCATGCATTTGTCCATTCACCTATCCTTTTGGCAAATATTTATTGGGAAGCGTAGTTGTTACGAATCGGGTTGCAAACCGCAAGGTCAGCAGTTTGAAACTACCAGCTGTCCCGCAGGAGAAAGATGAGGCTTTCTGCTCCCGTAAAGATTTACAGCCTTGGAAACCCTTTACAGGGTCGCTAAAAGTCGGAACTGACTCCATAGCACTTAACAACAACTATATGCCATGGAGTCCTGGTGTGGCGATGCAGGTTAATGCGCTGGACTGCAAGGTTGGTTTGAACCACAAGGTCAATGGTTCAAGCTCACTAACCGCTCCTTGGTCACTGTGAGTCAGAATGACTCGATGGCACTTAACAACAACAACAAACTATGTGCCAGAATTGCTACAGTGACTTGTCTTGGAGGTTTATGGTTGGAGACATGTACAGTGCCAAGGAAGCCTTAACAGAAGAACCTAACCCAGACTTAGAAACATCAGAGAAAGATGAGTCAGAGCCAGCCGTGAGGGTAGGGAAGAAATTCGGGGAGTTTGTGCTTTCTGTTTCATTCAACTAATTATTTATCATCTTCTGAGAGACATGACATGCCCTCCCCCATGGGTTCCCACCATCAAGTACATACAGTAGGTGGGCTTTGTCAGCACAGTTAGTGATGGAGGAGTCAGGGGAGGCTCCCAAGAGGAGCTAACGCCTGTCCTAAGTGTTGGCAGTTACCCAGGAGTTGGCCCTAATCAGGGCAGACACTTGATTCTTCACACAGTGTTTTGGGCCCCCGGACTGGGGGTAGTAAGGCTGAGCTTGCCCTCAGAAGTGCAGGTCTCCCTGGGAAGACAAGATATGTTCACAGAGGAAGAGAACAGTACAGGAGATTTATGCCAGGTACAAGGAGCTCTGGTAGCGTAGTGGTTACGAATCGGGCTGCGAACCTTAAGGTCAGCGGTTCGAAACTACCAGCCGCTCCGCGGGAGAAAGATGAGGCTTTCTACTCCCGTAAAGATTTACACCCTCGGAAACCCTGTACAGGGTCGCTATGGGTCGGATCCGACTCGATGGCACTTAACAACAACAACAACAAAGGGAGTAAGGGGATACAGAAAGGATGGGAGTCCAGAGAGGTAGACATGGTGTGGCCTGGGGAGACAGAATTAGGATCCCAGAAAAAGAAGAGAGGAGAGCACTTTCCAAATAAGAGTCAGTCTTAAATTTTTTTAAAACTTTTATTTAGAAAGAATTTCAACCTTTTAGAAGAATTACTTTAAAATAAAATACTTTAAAGAGTATCCATACTCCCTTTACCCAGATTCACCTATTGTTAGCATCCTATTTACTTTATCATTTTATCTCTCTGTGTGCATGCATGTGTGTGTGTGTATAGAAATACAGAAATAAGAAAGATGGGGCATACACATACATACACACACATACTTGTGATTTTTCCCCGAGTCATTTAAGGATAATAAAGTCATATACATCAGTGGGAGAAAGATGAAGCTTGTCGACTCCTATAAAGGTCTCTGAAACCCTGTGAGTTGAAGTTGAAAGCAGTGGATTTTGTTTTTGTTTTTAATTTGATCTACGTCATGACTCTTCTAAATGCTTCCATATTTGTTTCCTAAAATTAAAAGTATTTTTTAATGTAACCACAATACAGTTATCAAGTTCATAAATTTCTATTGATATAATAGTGTGAGGTCATCCACTGTTTATGTGCAAGTGTTATTTTGCACAGGATCCAGGCTAGAAGCAGGTGTTAGCCTTCTTTGATCTGGAACATTGAAAAAAAAACTTTTCTTAAATAATTTAGTTCTTTCTTATTGCCGTTGTTGGAAAGCTTTATCTTTTAAGGTGATTCATGAGTAGACTTCACTCTCATTGAAAAGATTTTCCTGATAAAAAGAAAGAAAACCTCTGATTCGTGGAAAAAAATTCCATTATTTTTTCATTCCATTTTCCCACGAACTTTGTGAAGCTCTCTCATAAATATCATTACATGGTAGCTGAGCATCTTAGAGCCAGATCTGAACTGGAACCGCCGTTGCACCATTACTAATGATGATTTTTCTATCACCTTTGCAAATGTTTTTAATTTAAAAAAAGATTTATTTGCTGCTGTCGTTGAGAATATACATGGTGTTGCTGTTAAGCGCTGTAGAGTCGGTAACAACTCATAGTGACCCTACATAGTGAGACGTATACCCACTCGACCATTTCTACTTTAGACAGTTCAGTGACATTGATTACATCTTTTGAGTTGAGAAACTATCCTCAACCTCCTGTTCCTAGTCATTCCCTCAGTGGTAAAATCCACTTACTGCCCCCAAGCTTCCAAGCTTCCTAGCTAAGCTTTTGTCAACTCTGCCAATAGCTGTTAGATGCATACTAAGTTCCAGACATCATACTGGAGCTGGAAATACAGAAATAATCAAGGTGAGGAAGATGGAAAACTAGCAAAAAAAACCCAACAAAACCATGCGATAATTTAGATAGCGCTAACCAGTGGTCCTGGTATGTATGGCACTGTGGGTTAATGCGCCAGACTACAAAGCTGTTTGAACTGCAAAGTTGGTGGTTCAAGCTCACCAGCTGCTCCTTGGAAACCCTATACAGGGTCGCTATGGGTCGGAATCAACTCGACGGCACTTAACAACAACAACAGTTAGTGGCATGAGAAGGCAAGCCAGGTAATCTGATAAAGATTATCACTGACTTGGGGAAGAAATGGCATTTGATCCGAGACGTACACCATGAGAAGGACCCAATTATGCCAAACTCCGGAGGAAGTGTGTTCTAGAACAGTCAGTGCAAAGGCCCTGAGCTGAGAAGGAGAGTGGCAAGTTGGAGAAACAGCAGGGAAGTCACTGTGGATTTTTTTTTTTTTTTCAGCCAATAAGTGTCACCTCTCTGAGCCCCAGTTTCTTTGTAAAATGGGACTGCTAATTAGCACCTGAGGTCCCTGGCTGATGCAAACGGTTTGCCCTTCATTACTAACCAAAAGATTGGCAGTTCAAACCCACCCAGTGGTGCTGTGGAAAAAAGGCCCAGTAATTTGCTTCTGTAAAGAGTTCAGCCAAGAAAACTCTATGGAGCAATTCTACTCTGTTAGACATGGGGTTGCCAGGAATCAGAGTCAGCTGGAAGGCAAGGGCTTTGGGTTTAGCTTAATAGCGCCTACCTCTCTGAGTTCTTATGATATATCAAGAGATAATGAAGTCTGCAACTTGCTTTGCACAGATGGGGCATGGCACACACAAGACATTTGATAAATGTGACCAACTGTTATTGATGGTATGAGATGGTGTGGGTGGGGAGCAAACAGGTGCCTCAGATCCTTCTTCAGGAGCAAGACTCCCTGCCCTAACGCTGTCCTCTTGTCCCTTTAGGTTATCCGGGTTTCCAAGCCACGACCTATGCCAGCCGGAGTTATACAGGCCTTGCCCCTGGCTACACCTACCAGTTCCCTGGTAAGTCCTGCATTGTGTCCCTCAGCTGCCAGCATGACCCCAGTGCTCAGGGTGGTGTCTGGGGGTGCATGGCTGGGGGAGGTTGCCTGACAGAGGCCTGGAAGGAAAGGCATGTCTGAGGAAGGAGCACCTCCCCTCCCAGTCTCCTTCCCACCCTCTCCTCAGGAGCTGGAGTGGGGGGCTCCTGCGTGGCCCTGCATGGCGCACCTCTTTTCAGGCCGTCTCCACCTGCCCCCTGCCTTTCTCTCCTCCCCACCCTATTCTGGAGTTGCCACTTCCACCAAAGAGGGCATCAGGGATCCCTAGGTCCTGCCCAGTGGCTGTGCCAGGCATTGGCCAATCTGGGTAGCTACCTGGCCCTTAATTAAGGGTAGTGCAACAGGTGAGGGACCCTCCCTAAGGACTGATGTTGGGATATTTATAATATCTAGAGGTTCCTGGGTGGCACAAGCAGTTTGTGATAGGGTGCTAACCTAAAGGTTGGCAGTTCAAAACCAATTTATGGGGAAAAAAAACAAAAACAGTTTATGGAACCATGGAAGAAAGACCTGGCGATCTGTCTCTGTAAAGATTACAGCCAAGAAAACTCTACGGAGCATTTCTGCTGTGCTACATGGGGTCTCCATAAGTAATACAACTTGACAGCAAGGGGTTCGGCTGGGTTTATAAGGACCAGGTGCTATGCTGAGTCCTTGCAGAACCAGAAGAGACTTTTGAGGCCCTGAATACTGAAGAAACAAAACAAAAGACTATGATCACAACCCTCTTTTGTAATTGAGTTTACAAATTTTCTTTGTAATTCACACTAAAAATAACACTAGCCCTTAAAATTAGTGGCAAGTCCAACAAAGTTGTGTACTTTCCTATCATGACTTTTTATTGATATTTTCTTTGAAATATCAGATACCAAATTCTGGCAAGCCTTGTTTCTTCTAGATGTTGTGTTCTTTCTTGAACGGTTCCCTAAGTATTTGCATCATCTACCTCTTGGTCTGTCCATCAGCTTGGAATCCTTGGCTTATGTTTTTTGAAAAAGACTATTTTATTGTGATTTAAGTGAAGGTGATTTAAGTTAAGGTTGACACAGCAGTTTCTTCTCAAGTTGTTCCATGCCAGTAGTGACGTTTTTTCACAATGTGTGCACATTCTCAATATTTCTGTTCTGGTTGTTTCCATTCATCTAGTTTCCCTGCCTCCTTACATTCTTGTCTAGCTTCATTTTTAAGTCATGGCTGACTGTTGGGTCTCAGAGAAGTGATTTCCTTTGTATGTATTTTGCTGTCTAATCCTCACAGCAAAGTGTGAGGTATGATTATCCCCCATTTTATCAGGATACAAATTCAGCATGGAGAAATGATTCTCTAAGATAATTTACCTGGGAAGTAGCGGAGGTGGGGTTTGAACCCAAGACTACCGTACTTGAGGGCCGTTGCTCAATCAATGCTGCCTCCCCAGCTCCCCAGGGGAAAAAAAGAACAAGAGGGGGGTTCTGGGAGATGTTTTGGTGGCATTTCTAAATCTTTGTACTTATTTATTTTCTTTCTTTCAAAAAATTTTGTTGTGGTGAAAACATACCTAACAAAGCATACGCTGTCTCAACAATTTCTGCATGTGCAGTTTGGTGTTCCCATTCTTCAAGCGGTATGACCATTCTTACCTTCCTTTTCCAAATTACTCCACCACCATTAACAGAAACTCAGTGTGCCCTAAGCAAAAGCTCCCCTTCACTCCTTGTAAGAAACAGCTGGAAGGTTGGATAGGAGGCTTAGGGGACCATGAGTTTATGTTAATGGGAGAAGAACAATCTAGACCAGGAGGGTGAAGATGGTTCCTCAGCCTCAAAGAATGGAATCAAGGTCAGTGGACTCTATGTGTAGAAAAGGTTGGGTTGGTGAATGTTTTCCAAGCAAAAACAAAATCAAATCAAATATCTTTTTAGAAAAAAACAAAAACACAGCTGGAATTGTTGCTCCAACATTGCCCCATATCCAGGGTATAGGTGGCAACTCCACCCTCCCTCTCTCTCTCTTCCTCTTCGCCTGTGTTTCCTCCCAGTCAACTTTCCCTGCCTGCTGAGGACTGTGCTCTCTCCCCTCCCTTAGCTCCCCAGCTGTTGGGTCCTGTGCATGACCTGTCCCCCTGACCTAGTGTCCCTGTGGGTGCCTCTGTCCTCCCTGGCCCATGCCCCAGGGGCCTCCCCTGCTTCCTCCTAAGCTGTTTTACGTTTCGTTTTAGAATTCCGTGTAGAGCGGACCCCTCTCCCGAGCGCCCCAGTTCTCCCCGAGCTTACAGGTCAGTGGCTCGGATTTCATACACCTCACAGGCCACAGTGCGAGAAAGACAAGAAACCCAGGGACCTTCCAGGGGAAAGCTAGCAGGGACCCCTTTCTCCTGCCCACCAGCCCTCTGTAGCTACCTGGACCTTCAGGGTGGGGCATCGGGCCAAACGTAGCAGAAGGAGGCGAAGTCCCTCATTTGTCTACTAGCAAATATTGATCTAGTGCCTTCAGTGTGCCAGGCATTGCGGTCAGCCCTGGGGATGCAGTGGTGAACAAGCCTGAATTTCAAACTTTAAGCAAAGCAGACTGGGTGGGGACTTGTGCAAGCTGGAGTGGGCGGCATACCCTTTCATTCCAGCCAACCCTGCCTGGCAAGATGTAGACCCAGTGCTCTCAGATCTCAGTTTTCTAGAGAAACCAGAAATCTGGCTTTTGCTCTCATAAAGAAATGCTCCATTATGTTTAAATGTTGGCAACAAATCCCAAAATTTTACAGCACTGTATGGACCAAATGAAACATACATATGAGGGTCGAATGCAGTCCTCTGGGCAAGTGGAAGGAATTTACTAGAATCAACTAGAATGTTCTCTTAGGCCAATTCACTCAGCTCTGGAGCTGGGAGCAAGGCCGGGGGGTATACGTATGTAGACAGACAAGACAAACTGCAAGTGGTGGTGTTGTTTAATCTGCTTCTCCCCCACCCCACCCCAGACTCTTGCCCCCCAACCTGGTAATGTGTGAAGGGTGTGAGCAGTGGATGGGGCTTTAGATAGACTTGCCTTCCAACAGGTGGTGTCAGAGGCTGTCTGCCCTAAAAAATGGGGGGGAGGATGAGAAACATGGGGAGAAGCGGGGAGCGGAGAGACCCGGAGAACGGAAATACTAAGAGGCTCTTCCCTGAGTAGAGTGAGGGTTTGAAAAATAGTTTGGGCTTGAGTGGTCCTTTCTATTCATTCCAGAAGTCTGAGGGGCTTCAAAAAGTTTGTGGGAAACTAGAATGAAAAGAGAATAGACTGTTTCTATGAACTTTTTGAAGCCCCCTCACATAAGGTGAAGATTTACTGTGTACGGGGCACTCAGCCAGGCCCCGGGAGCATGGGCGTAACAAGACAGAGCCAATGCTTGGTACTTGTAGAATTTGCAGTCTGAAGAGGGAAGCTAGTACTTCTTATACAAATAAGACTTTCTTTATGGCTTTGATAAATCATGTGCTTGGCTGGCTTTTCTGATGTCATTCTGTGGAAATGCCTAACTGGGCCAAAATACAGACCTCAGAGCCTTGTCCCTGTCCTCACAGAACTGAGGGAAGACACATCCTCTTTCAGGTGTCTTGAAGCCCGTGGGTTGTACAAACGGTGAATGTATTTGACTGCTAACAGAAAGTTTGGAGGTTTAAACTCACCCAGCGGCTCCTCAGAAGAAAGGCCTAATGAATGATCTACTTCCAAAATATCAGCCACTATGAAGTAGTCTTACTCTGGTACACACGAGGTTGCCTTGAGTTGGAATTGACTCAGTGGTAACTGGTTTCCAGTTTCAGGGCAAGAGTTGCCAAAACAGTGCTGAAGGGCACATCTTGGGGTGCAAGACTGGCTCATGAGGGCTTGCCAAAAGCAAACTCAAGCCCCTCTCTTTGGGAAGAAAGAGGTTATAGCACCTCAAGGGTAACTGTAGCAGAGCCAGACAGTAGGGGGTGCTCACCCCTCAGCCCAAGTGACTCCCAGGATTCAAGAGAAGGAGTCATTTAAGCAGCAACCACTTCTGTCTCTTGAGCTTACTAAACCCCAGTTGTGTCTAAGACAAGGCTTTAGATGTGGGAGTGAGATAGCAAGGCCCCTGTGTCTTAAGAGGCAACCACAGAAAAGGGGCTGAGGGAGTCGGAGTAGGGTGTCATTTCTGGCTGCGTAGTCCCATAGGCCCTGAGACCAGGTTTAGGATGAGCACATTTTACTGAACCCTGAACATATGCTCTCAGGAGAAGCAAGGGAGAGACGCAGGACAAGGCAGTGGAGTTGCTAAGCAAAGATGGTATCTCGCTTCCACCTGACCCCACGGGGCGCTCTGGAGGGCAAATTGTACCGCAGAATCATTGTACTGCAGAATCGTCTCATCTTGAGAGATGGGGGTGAGCCTTTTGTGCCTGTGGTGGTCAGTCATGAGCTGCAGTCCACTGGAGTTGGAATGAGGGACATAACCTCCCAGGTAGATCTGGGGGAGGTGTGAGGAAATTCTCTGAAGTGGGTGGGCACAGCTGCAAAAGTGCCACAGCATCTCAGGGGTGGGTGGTACCCCTGCCTGACAAAAGATCTGGGCCAGGACCAGCATCCTTTACAGCCCTGCTCGCACCCTTTGTGGGATTTGGATTGTCCAAGTATGTCCCATGAGTTCAGGGGAGACATTGAGGCAGAGCTGCTCACTGGGAAGCTGTCCTCTCTCCTGTCTTCCTCTCTTCCGTGAGTCAGGGCACAAATGGCGGCCCAAGAGAACTTTCTGCCTTGTCCTTTCTGAGGTGGGGGAAGCTCTGCCCAGAGGGTACGGGTCCCCCTTCATCCACCTCTTCCCCCTCCCTGGCCGGCCACACTGAAGTGTCCTTACTCTTCCTTTCAGCGATTCCTCTCACTGCTTATGGACCAATGGCAGCGGCGGCGGCAGCGGCAGCTGTGGTCCGAGGAACAGGTGAGGATTTCTGCACTGCAGGATGTGAGGGAGCAGAGGGGGGCAGAGAAGCCCCGAGAGGACAGCACTTGGCCACTGCTGCCTGTTTTCAGAGTGACTCATTTATTCACTCACTCTAAGTATTCATAAGTATTCACTGAGCACCCATTAGGTGCTGGGCATTGTGTCAGCACTTGGGATCCAGCTAGGAGTGGGCCTGACATGTCTGACCTCTGACCTCCAGAACTTACAGAGAAGTTCATGGAAAAAACTCCATCATCTTTTCATTCCATTTGTCCATGAACTTTTTGAAACCCCTGAAGAAGATAGTGCCAGAGTCCAGAAGCGAGGGTCTCTTAACCTTAGACTTGCAGGCAAAGAGGAGGAGGAACAGTGTTTCTGGCAGAGGGAACACATACAATGACTTAGAGGCTAGTTGACGTGGGTATGGCTTGGGAAGCGGGGGAGGTAGAAGGAACCAGCCTTGGGAAGAGACACAGAACATCTTAGGCAGTAGGGTGACATAGGTCAGATTTCAGGAAATTCAGCCCAGATATACGGTGTGGAACTGTTTGGAGGGGCTTGAGGGGGAAGGTAGGGAGACCAGTGAGAAGCTGTCTTGTAACCAGAGACAAGAGGCGAGGGAAGGGGCCTGGGCTAGTGAGAGGGGAAGGGGGTGGACATGTACCCAGGAGGTGGACAGAAGGATTTGCTGAGATGTGGGGGGAGTGGGTGTTCCATGTGGTGGCTGTGAGCACAGAGGTTATGATCATCTTCTTTCTGGGTTGCCAGGCTCTCACCCTTGGACGATGGCTCCCCCTCCAGGTTCGACTCCCAGCCGCACCGGGGGCTTCCTGGGGACCACCAGCCCTGGCCCCATGGCTGAGCTCTACGGGGCGGCCAATCAGGACTCGGGGGTCAGCAGTTACATCAGCGCCGCCAGCCCTGCCCCCAGCACTGGCTTTGGCCACAGTCTTGGGGTGAGTGGCCAGGCCCTGCGAGACCTTGAAGTTGGGAGAGAAAGAGACCTTGTTTGTCTGCAGGAGCAGAAGAGGAGCTAGGGATGATGGGAAGAGGAAGAAAGAGTGCTAAGAGGGGAGGGAGGGACTGTCATGCATTCACTGGGCATCTAATAGTGGACCAGGAGCTCTAGTAGCATAGTGGTTACGAATCGGGCAGCTACCCTCAGGGTCAGCAGTTCGAAACTACCAGCTGCTCTACGGGAGAAAGATGAGGCTTTCTGCTCCCGTAAAGATTTACAGCCTCGGAAACCCTGTACAGGGTCGCTATGAGTTGGAACCAACTCTATGGCACATAACAACAACATTAGGTAGGCATTAGTTATACTTTGAGGAGTCCCTGGGTGGCACAAAGAGTTAAGCATGCAAATACCAGGCAACTGGTTGGCAGTTCAGAGGCACTGCGGAAGACAGACCTGGTGATCTGCTTCCAAAACGTCACATCCTCGGAATCCCTATGAAGCTTATCTACTCTGTACACATGGGGCAGCCGTGAGTCAGAATTGCCTCAAAGGCAACTGAATACAACAAATAACTATGCGGATGAGACGCACCATTTCTGCTCGCATGGAGGCTACATTGGAACGTAGGAGTCGCCTGACTTTTACCAGGGTGCTGGTTACATGCAGATTCTCAGGCCCTACCCAAGAACTTTTCAGAAGGACTGCAGTGGGAACAGTTGCAGGATGGCAAGAGAAAGTACTGTACCTCATCTTAGGGTTCCTGACGGAGAATCAGGGAAGTCCCCAGGACTGCTGCACTTCCCCCAGAAAGCTACAAGTCCCATTTTTCTCTTCCTAGGGCCCCTTGATCGCCACAGCTTTCACCAATGGGTACCACTGAAGCAGGGACTGGCGGCAGGAGGTAAGGAGGGAGGAGGGGGTGAGGTGAAGGGTGGAGGGTGATAACGGACGGTCCGGGACACTGTCAGCCCTCATGGAACCCACAGTTCAGGTGGGAGGCAGACATATGAGAAGATACCCAAGCTGCTATGTATATTTCAAGATACCCATTAAAACAAGACAAAGCACATTTCAGCCATCAGTTTGGCAAAGGTTTCTGAAGCTCCCTCTTACCCATCATGGATGAAGGTATAAGGGGCCTGGTGTGAGAAAGGACTTGGTGTTTACAATCCAGACTTGAAACACGCATGCCCTTTGGCCTAACAATTCCGCTTCTCTAAGCATTTATTTTAAAAGCAGCAAAAAGCCATAATGCCTCTCAGAAGGTGATGATTAAACAACACAATGAATGGAATTAGTGTCACTGAATGTCCATGGAAAAAATGTCAAAATACAAAAGTTTTGTTACATATATACAAGGGGACTTGAAAAACAATTTGGAAAAATTCCATGATCTTTTCATTCCATTTCTCCGTAAAGTTTTGGGAAGCCCCTTGGTTTTTACCATACACACACACAGAAAAGCTGAGAAGGGAGGAAAGGAAAAACAGGGTAGAGTTGAATTAAACATCAACACAGAATCCTGCGCAATGGAGAGAGAGCCACAAAGAATGCAGCATGGCCAGGGCTGCAGCAGGGATGCGCCGGGGCTCTAGGTGAACCGGTGATGTTTCATTTATTCATTCAGACAAATATTTATGAAGAAATGAACATGGCCCCTCTCTCACTTGACAGTCAAAAATTAAATAAACAAATGGGTGTGGGAAACCTCAGGGAGGAGGAGGTCAATGTTTGAATCAAGTTTAATAAATTCAGTATCTGGGGGAAGAGCAATGAAAACAAGGAACAACAACAAAAGGTGGGCACAGAACCAACCTGTCTAAGAGAGGGTCAGGAGAGGAGCAGTAGGGGTGTCCCGAGGAGAAGTCAGGCCCTCATAACCTCTCTGCTTTATGCTCAGCACCCCAGCCTGCAGCTGACTGAGGACCACAGTGAGCCAGCCGAGGGGGGGGATCACCTCAGCCGAAGCCGCACCCCCTGCCCCCGCAGCGACTCGGAGCCTGCTACTGCCTGTCCCCCTCTCCCTGGGCCCAGCCCCTGCCCTGCTGCCCCCCACATCGTCTGGCCCCTCTACTAACCTCCCACCTCTTCTGCCCTACCTCCCCCCTCCCTGCCCGCTTTTATTTATTTTGGATTAGCTGGTTGCCCCTCTGGTTTTCCCCTCTTGGGCCTGCGCCCCTCTCTCTCCACTGCACCCCCATAGGACCCCCCCAAGAAAGCTTTTGTATTTGTGCATAGCTAGAGTGAGGGCGGAGGGAGCCTGCTACAGTGGCCGCAGTCCTGACCCTTGTTTTTTATTCGGATTTTCCCTCCTTTCCTCTGTCCTCTTTCCTTTTTAAAAAAAAAGAGAAACCGTTTTTAAACTATTTCTAGGTTTGTGAATGTGAAGCCCCAGGCTACAGGGGGCTAGGAGCCAGGTGTCCCCCCACCAGCTGAGAACAAAGTGTCTATGTGGGTGTGGGCCCCTGACCACTGCCCTCGGGCCTGGAGAGGACAGGGCTGCATAGGCCAGGCCGAGCCCCTGGACCCATCCCCGTCCTGTATCATATGTAAATACTGTGAGGTGATGATGCCCCACCCCTCTCTGGACCCCTGGGGGTGAGGGCATCATCTCCGCCCCCTCCCCCCCAGTGTTTCTGTCCCCTCAGACACCGTTACTGTAAGCTTGTAGGCCTCCGCTATGCCAGCAGCAGGCCAGCTCTCTCAGGCCCTGGGGCAGGGAGGGGAAGGCCTTGGGTCTCACCCTGAAAACCCAGTGTGGGGGCAAAGGAAGAGAAGGGCTTGCCTGGAGCCGCTGCTGACAAGGCAATAACTCTCCATAGGTCTCCTCCTGTCCCCTGCCCCGGTTAGGCCCTCAAGGCTTCTGCTCTGAGCCCCACCCCACCCCCCAAAGTGGGGGCATGGGGACATTTTGGGAAGGGGCGGACCCCAGGGAAAAGCAAAGCTTCTCAGGGAACCCCCACATTCTCTCACTGAAGTTTCCCACCAGAGCCCCTTGGCAGCCCACCCCACCCCCACTCCAGAGCCCCCTTCAAAGGACAAAGTGAGGCTCAGGGTCTGAGTGTTCATGACCAGTGGCAGGGCTGAGACCCACCCAAGGTCTTCCCTTTCTCTGACTCCCACTCCCTCAGGCCTGAGGCTGTGGGGGCCTAAGCTCCCTTCTCCCTTAGCCCTACCCTTCATGCCTCCCTTTGGAGAGTTCATTGTCTGAGGTGCTTAACCTATTTGCCCTGAGAACATAAAGCAATAATCTTTGTTACTGAGACTCAGCTGTTCGTGGGTTTTTTGTTTTGTTCTGTTTTTGTTTTTGTTTTTAATATTTCCTAATAAAAGAGAAGCTGCATTTTATTGGTTTTATTTTTAATTTTCTACATGTTTGAGCTGAGTCCCAAGGGACTTGGTCTCTGCTTTTTTCTGCTTCCTCTGACCCTCCCACTCCCCTGGGCCCACCCAAGGGCTCAGGACTCTGGAATTCCTTTTTTTAAAGATGTTACATGGTATTTCAAAGCAGCAAGCTACCACTCTCCAGTGTCCCATCTTTCCTTATCTGTAACTTCTTTTCCCAGGTTTTATTTTCAATTTCAAGTTCCTAATAAATTATTTGAAAACGGTGCTGGGCTCTTTAATGTCTTGTATGTTATGTCTGTGTGTATTTGGATCGAAGTACTTTGGGGAAACCTATGTTACTGTGCAGAGCTTTCCCACTTTCCTTCTAGAATGATCCTTACCATTTGACCCAGCTTCTATTTCCAACTTCTTGACCAGCCTCAAAAAGTTTAGCTTTGGACCCCCACCCTCTGGTTTGCCTTTAACCTAGACGGAATCCTGGGAAGATAAGGTATGAAAACCAGCTCAGATGAGGCTTGTCAAATGACGCTGAGTGAGTTCCAACTCAAAGTAACCCAGTGCAGTACTAAGAGTCCCAGATGAGGGTTGTTGTTAAGTACTGTCGAGTCGAATCCGACCCGGAGCAACCGTGTTTCGAGTTTCCAAGGAGCAGCCGGTGAGCTTGAACCACTGACCTTGCAGTTCAAATGACTTTGCAGACAGACACATTAGTCCACAGCGCCACACCAGGACTCCTTGGAAAGAGATAGAGGTGGTAGTTAGCATAACATTGTGAATATACTAAATGCCTCTGAATTGTGTTCAATTGAAAATGCTTAATTTTATGTTATATGAATATCACCTCAAAAAAAGCAGGAGGTGATAATGGAGGGGGGTGTGGACTTCAAAAGTTTGTGGACACATGGAATGAAACGATAATGGAATTTTTCCATGAACTTTTTGAATCCCTCATATAACTAGAGTGGGGGAGGATTCAATGTAAGTGTGGCTATAGGAGACATAGTAAGGACGTAGTAAAGAGGTGTTGTTAGGGACAGTGGAGTCAATTACTACTCATAGTGACCCCACCTGACAGGGTTGAACTGCACCACAGGGTTTTCTTGGCTGAAGTCTGTTGTGGTTTTATTTTTAACTTTTTATTGTGAATTGAGTGGTTTACAGACAAGATCATCAGCTTTACATTCAATACATCATACACATTTTATATCGATTACATTCGCCTCCTTGGAACAACAGTTATCCTGCTTCCCCCCCTGTGGATGCGATTTGCATTCCATCCACCTTGCTGTCCCTTCCCAACTTCGCAGTCCTTAAGAAAATGTTGTCCTTTTGATTGATGAGCATTCCTCACCGGTGCTGTTGTTGCCCCACCCCCATCCCGCACCTGAAACCTATCCACTGCTTGGGCAAAAACTGGGCCCTGTGGGTGAGTTCCAGTCCAGACCTGAAGAGTGGTCGAAGGCCATAGTGTCAGATGGCTCCAGTCTCTTGGCTGTAATCTTTCCAGGAGCGGATTGCCAGGTCCCACAGAGCTTCTGGATGGGTTCCATCCATCCACCTTTCAGTTACAGCTAGCACTAGCTAGTCATTGTGTCACTAGGGCACCTTAGGCAAAGGACGCATTGCCATCGAGTGGATCCCAACTCATCGCAACCTTATAGGACACAGTAGAACTGCTCCGTAGGATTTCCAAGGCTGTACATCTTCACAGCCCATGGGAACAAACAGCCTCATCGTGCTCCTGTGGGGCAGCTAGTAGATTTGAACCTGTGACCTTGTAGTAATAGGCCAGTGCTTAACCCACTGCACCACCAGAGCACCTTCCTTTGGTGGTAAACAGCGGTGGTCATGTGCCACCGAGTCAGTTTCAACTCACAGTGACTCTATATAGGGTTTCCGAGGCTGCAAATCTTTATTAGAGCAGAAAGCTTTATCTTTCTCCCACTGAACAACTGGTAGATTGAAACAACTCACCTTGCAGTTAGCAGCTCAGCTCATAGTCCACTTCGCTACCAGGGCCCTTCTTTGGTAAATGACTGCTACTAATTAATGTCAGGCTGTCCCAGATGTCGGGAAATGGGCCAATGGAACTTGACAATAGCTGTTTCCACCAAGTGAGACCAAGAGTTCTTGGTTGGCATATTGATTTGACAACTATTTCCAGAACATCTATTTGTGACAGGCATTGTGTTAGGCACGAAAGCGGTGATCAATTCATCCAGGTTTGTCTGGTTCCCCAGTTTGGGAACCATTGGCTACATATCACATCACTTCTTTGTAGATGGGGCAGTAGAGAGTGGATGCCCCTAGAACAGAAAAGACTGAGAATGGTAGCTTTGGGTGTGGAAAAAAAAGCATGTGTACTTCCCATACTGCCTCCATTTTTGATCTGTACGAGCACGTGACTTAGGACAAACCTATGTAAACTATTAAGATCTTTCCTGGCACAACACCCAATGAAACCTAGCTATTTTTGTTGTTGTTATGGTTACTGAAGAAGCCTTGGACTAAAAGGTAAGCAGGTTCAAATCTTACCTCCATTACTTTCTATCTGTGTGACTTTGGGCCAGTTACTTAAGCTCTCTGAACCTCAGTTATCTTCATCTGCCAAACGCAGAAATGGTGACAACGACAATAACAGTAATGTCAGAGGAGGTTGTGAGACTGAAAAGCGTTGTATGAGAAGTCCTTAGCAGTGCTGAGCAGATGAAAGTGCTCAGCTGTTCTTACTCATTTCCTGGAAGGAGTTTCCAGAGGCTGGACAAACGTGACCTTGCCGGAGTGTGGGTACGCTGTCACCTGAAGGAGCAAAGAAACTATCCTTAGCTGTTCTTTCCACTGGAGACTATGTTTTTCCCAGTCTGGGAGATGCTGGCCTGCTCACACCTGTGCATGGTTCTGGGGCAGCAGAAGGTCATGGTGCATAATGTAAGGGCTTGTGGGGCTGCCAAGTGACCTTCTGGAATCATTCCTTGGCTACCTCTGTGACTCAGGTGCCAGGTTTGGACTGTCATGTAGGCCATGCCTCTTTTCAGAGCAGGGGCAAGGGCGGGGGGTTTACAGCAGCAATCTGGCCCCTTTCCCCAACCAGGTGCATTGTCTACGCCCCTGCTTGTAGAAAGCCTCTAGGTGGTGGGGCATGGGCTTTCAGCACTTCTCCCCACCACTGACCTTCCCATGTCCTCCAATGGTCTAGTGGTGTCATAAGAACCATATGGCTCAAACACTGGCCCTCGTGTGTAACACTGCGGACAGTCACTTAACTTTGATGAGTCTCATTTGTTTCCTCTGGTAAATGGAGTTCAAAACGGGGCTTCACCTCAAAGGGTCATGCCAAGTATTTAGCCTAGTAGGACAGAGAAGGATTTCCAAGACTAATCTTTATGGACTTCTGGCATGGCACTGTAGGATCAGCACTGGATTGCGGACCACAATGTAAGCAGTTCAAACCCACCAGTTGTTCTTCGGAAACCCTATACAAGGTCCCTATGAGACGGAATCAACTTGATAGCACTTAACAGCAACAATAGCTTTTATGGAAGCTGACTGCCACATCTCTCTCTGGAAGAGCAGCTGTCAGGTTCGAATGGCTGCCCTTTTGAGAGCTTCAATGCTGTGCCATCTGGGCCCCTGTTCAAAACTCAAACTCACTGATCAAGTAGATTCATAGCGACCCTGCATAGGGTTTCTGAGGCTAGAAATCTTTCCAGGAGCAGAAAGCTTCATTCTCCCATGGTGTGGCTGGTGGTTTTAAACTGCCATCCTTGCGGTTAGCAGACCAGTGCTTACCCTTCTCCTACAGTGCCACCAGAGTTCCTTCTATGGCCACACTGTCCTCACAAACCCTACACTGGGGGACTGGGGAGGACAGTGGTACAGGTCAGGTGGGAAAAAATGAAACGTGTTTGTACATATCAGACTGACCTAAGTTTAAGTCTCCACTCTGCCATTTGCTAGCTGTGTGAGCTTAGGCAAATGATGTGACCTCTCTGAACCTGTTTCCTCAACTGTAAAATGTATGATTGATGGGGACTCTTCCCTGAGACTCACAGTACACACCCAGGTACCAGTCACGCACCTGTCCCCCATCTCCTGGTTATCCAATGGGGTTGGCCACCTTGGCCACTCAACAATCAAGTTTGGGTCAAGATTCCAAGACCCGCAAACTCCCTGTAGTTACAAGTTGTTGAAGACAAATATGCACGTTGCTTCCAATTACCTCTCTCTCACAAGTTGGTCAGAGTTAATATGGCAACAGACTCAAGGCCAACACTGAGTCGGCTGGGAGCAAAGCAAACACTTCAGCCTTATCTTGGGGACATGGAACAGCTATAAGGCAGGACGCAGCTGGTTCCGTCACCCACTCACCTCTTTGACAACAGGATGAAGCTGCTTGTGCTGGTTGCTCTGCTCATAGGTAGGTGCCTCCCCAGTTCCACCCCCTCCAGACCCCAAGGTTTCAATTCTATGGAATGGGGGCCACAGATCACAGGGGTTAGGACTGGTCAGACCTGGAGTCTTTACTCAGGGATCCCCAAAGGAATTAAGGGCCCGATTTTGGGATTCTCTCATCTTCCCTCAAATCCACCACCCACATGTTGCCTTCTAAGCCCTCAGGTCTGAAATCAAGTCCTCTGAGAAAGGTCCACCCCTGGCCGCCTGAGTTGAGTTCCCTTGCTTTCTTCCCTTCCTGATCATCTTGCTCAGGAACATGGCCTCCTAGCACCCTCCTCTGCCAGACAGTAGAATTTAAATCCCACCTCACTTACTCATTGTTTATTCATTCATTCAACATTGGGGTGGGTGCTCCAGGGTGTAAGGGTCCTTGGGTTAAGACTGGGGACTCAAACACATGAGAAATGAGGCCCATGGGCTGTATAGAAGTGGGTGGGGAAGGGTGGCATGAGATGAAATGGGAGAGATGTGTAAAACCCAAATTTCAAGAGCTGCCTTGAATGAGGGAAGAAATTTGGATTTAATTCCAAGTGCAATGGGCATTCATTGTTGCTGTTGTCAGGTGCCATCGAGTCGGAACCGACTCATAGCGACCCCATGCACAGCAGAACGAAACAATGTCCGATCCTGGGCCAACCTCACTACCGCTGCCACACTTGAGTCCACCAATGATGCCACCTGGCCAATCCATCTCGTTAGGGGCATTCATTAAAAGTACTTAAAGGGGAATAACAAGTTTTAACTTAACTTTAAATGTGTGTGTGTGTGTGTGTGTGTGTGTATAGCCTTGGTAGCACAATGGTTAAAGTGCTCAGCTGCTAATCAAAAGATGGGCAGTTCTATTCCACCAGTTGCTCTATGGGAGAAAGTTGAGGCAACCTGCTTCCATGAAGATTTACAGCCTTGGAAACCCTATGGGGCAGTTCTCTATCTGTAGGGTCACCAGGTTGGAACCAACTGAACAGCTGTGGCTTTGGTTTTATATATTTTTTTGTTACGTGCTGTTGAGTCGGTTCTGACTCATAGCAACCCTGTATAGGGTTTCCAAGGAATAGCTGGTGGACTTGAAGCTCTGACCTTGTGATTAGCAGTCCAGTGTTTATCCTACAGCACCATACCAAGACTATATATATACCTGGAGCATGGTAGATTTTTATGATAAGCTCTGGACTGTAAACCACAAGGTCAGTGGTTCAAGCCCACCAGTCACTCCACAGGAAAAAGATGAGGCTTTCTGGTCCTGCAAAGATTTACAGCCTCGGAAAACCCTATCCAGGGTCGCTGATGGTATGTGCTGTGGAGTCTGTTCCGACTCATAGCATCCCTGTACAGGGTTTCCGAGGCTGTAAATCTTTACGGGAGCAGAAAGCCCAGAGTAGGAATTGGCTTGACAGCACAGAACAACAACAATATATATATGGAGCATGGTAGATGCCTTCGAGTTGGTTCCGACCCATAGCAACCCTATATAATATATATATATACACATGTACTAAATATATATACGGTAGTGGTTATGTGCCATGGAGTCAGTTCCGACTCATCACAACCCTGCACAGGGTTTCCAAGGCTGTAAATCTTTACAGGAGCAGAAAGCCTCACCTTTCTCCTGCGGAACAGCTGGTAGTTTTAAACTGCTGATCTTGAGGGTTGCGGTCAGAGCTCCTTAAATATATATATAGCATATGAATATAGGAGTGCTGTAAACCACAAGGTTGACAGTTCGAGACCACCAGCCCCTCCACAGGAGAAACATGAGGCTTTCTGCTCCTGCAAAGAATTACAGGGTCACTATGAGTCAGAACTGACTCAACAGCACTTGTTGTTGTTGTTGTTAAGTGCCGTAGAGTCAATTCCAACCCATAGTATAGGGTTTCCAAGGAGCAGCAGATGAGCTTGAATTGCCAACCTTAAAGTTCAAATGACTTTGTAGTCTGACACGTTAGCCCACAGTGCCAACAACAACATATATATATACTGGGTCCTGGTATGGTGCCTTAGGATAAGAACTGGACCACAAAGTTGGTTTGAACCATAAGGTCCACAGTTCAAACTCACCAGTTACTCTTGGAAACCCTATACAGGGTCGCTATGAGTTGGAACCTCCATCTCCCTGCACTTCAGACCAGCTGGTTGCCTCACTCTCACTCCTAGCTCCCAGAAGGCTAGGTCAGTGCCCATGGATTCTGGAGTTCACACATCTCCCTAAACTTCCGACCTGCAGCCCTTCCTCTTCTCTCTCTCATTTCAAGACCAATAGGTGCCAAAAGGATACGGCCAAACTTAGCCCATGTCTTCATTGCAGCATTTCCCCTACTTCCACTCACAAGTAGACCCACGTGGTCACCAGCAAGCATATTAGACTGCTCATAGATTCCTTTTGAATTTTAGTCCTAGAAGAGAGTTTTCCCTGATGGGCTGATTATTCTTTCCTTGATGCCTTCAAAGCAAACACCTTCCTTGATATTCAAACAGCCAAACATTCCGCTTTTCTCTGCAGGTCTTTCTTTCAATAAAAATCTTCTATTCTCCCAGCAGTTCTGGGTTGGTGGGCGTGTCTCTTCAAGTGGGAATGTCCCAACTCAGAAGTTTCTGTTTAGGACTCAGGAGTCCACCTAAAGGGTTCCATTATCTTTTCATTCCATTTTCTAGGAACTTCTTGAAACCCCATCAAACATAATTTCCCCACACACATATGGCAGTAACGTGGAATTTAACTGTTCTGCCCCTGCTGTTTCAATTGGTCTAGAAGATGTTACTGTATCCGGACAGGAACACGCAGTTCCTTCATTTTAACAGCTGCACGACATAACATTGTCTGGCTGGCACCTCAATTTATATAACTAGGATATGTGTAACTCCATGAGGTTAGAGGTTTTTGTCTGATTTGTTCATGGTTTTATCTCCAGTTCCTATAGCAGTGGCTGGCACATAGTAGGTGCTCAGTAAATGAATAAATTGTTGTTGGTAAGTGCCTTCGAGTCAGTCACAATTCATAGCAATGCTGTATAGGGTTTCCAAGAAGTGTTGGTGGGCTTGAACCACCAACCTTGTGGTTAGCAGTTGTTACACCAGGACTCCTGGTATGGTGCTGTATGACTAAATTACTGTTGTTAACTTTTGTCAAGTGGGTTCCTACTCATAGCGACTTTGTATAGGGTTTCCAAGGAATGGCTGGTGAGTTTGAACTGCCAAACTATCTGTTCAAACTGATCTTGAAGTTCAGTGCTTATACTTGTTAGGTGCCAGCGAGTTGGTACCGACTCATAGCGACCCAATGCACAACAGAACAAAACACTGCCCAATCCTGGGCCATCCTCATAATTGTTGCCACGCTTGAGCCCATTGATGCTGCCATTTTGCCAATCCATCTTGCTGGGTGTCTTCCTCTGTTTCTCTGACCCTCCACCTTACCAAAATACATTGAGGACACAGCTCTTTCCAGTTGCATTTTGAGTGCCTTCCAAACTGTGTGGCTCATTTTCCGGCCCTATATCTGACAGTTTCTCTACTATTCATAAAGGTTTCAGGAACTAAATATTTGGAAGTAGCTCATTACTCCTTCTTCCTAGTCTGTCTTCGTCTGGAAGCTCATCTGAAACCTGTCCACCATGGGTGACCCTGCTGGTATTTAAAATACCGGTGGCATAGCTTCCAGAATCACAGCAACTCACAAGACACCACAGTATGACAAACTGACAGACGAGTGGTGGGGGCTTATACTACAGTACCATAAATGGTGGTGGCTGTGTACCATGGAGTCGGTTCCGACCCATAGTGACCCTGTACAGGGTTTCCGAGGCTATAAATCTTTAAGGGAGCAGAAAGCCTCATCTTTCTCCTGTGCAACAGCTGGTAGTTTTGAACTGCTGACCTTGCAGTTCGCAGCCCAATTCATAACCACTACGCTACCGGAACTCCATACAGTACCATAAATAGAGATACTTAAAATCATGCCTGTTGAAAATGTATGTTCACATAAATATTAGTATGTGAGTGTTCACAGAAGCACTGTTTACAATAATCTCCAAGCAGAAACAGCCCAAATATCTATCAACAGATGGATGGGAGGAAAAAAATGTGGCCTACCCATAAAATGGAATATTATTTTACCATAAAAATGATTAAAATATTGATACATGGCACAGTGGTTACGAGGCAGGCTGATAACCTTGAGGTCAGCAGCCGTTCCATGGGAGAAAGATGAGGCTTTCTGCTCCTGTAAAGATTTACAGCCTCGGAAACCCTATGCAGGGTCACTGTGAGTAAGAACCGACTCCCTGGCATATAGTCACCACCAAACACCACATGCTTTAACATGGATGAACCCGGAGAACATTATTCTAGGTGAAAGAAGTCATACACAAAGGCCACATATTATATAATTTAGTTTATATAAAATGTCCACAATAGGCAAATCTGTAAAGACAGAAAGTGGTTTTCAAGGGCCAAGGGGAAGGCTTGTTTTTGTGGGGGGCTGTAATAGCTACAGGGTATGGGATTTCTTTATGAAGTAATGAAAACATTTTCAAATTGATTGTGCTGATGGGTGATGGACAATCCTGTGAATATACTCAAAGCCACTGAATAATATCCTTTAAAATAGTCAGAATGTAAATGATGTGAATCATGTGGATAAATCAACCAGCCCTACTCACTTTGCCAAGTTCCTTATGGCCAATTCTTTTCTGAGAAGATAGTTGGCCAAGGGGACAGCGTGAGCCCTGAGAATGCAGGCAGTGTGAGTGCACGAGGCACTGGCAGAGCCTGCTGGCCCAGACTTGACCTCAGAATGTCTCTTCTTGCAGTGGGTGCTGCCACGGTGGACTTAGGACCAAAGGCAGTATGGCAGTTCCGTAACATGATCAAGTGCACGATTCCCGAAAGCGACCCCTTGGTGGATTACAACAACTATGGCTGCTATTGTGGTCTGGGAGGATCAGGCACACCTGTGGATGAACTGGACCAGTGAGTGATGTGGAGGGAAATGGGAGGGTCAGTTTAGGTGAGGAAGGGAGGAGTGGACAGGAACAAGTACACAAAAGACAAGCACAAGAAGGAAATGTGCATATTTTTTAAGGATAATATAGTTCCAATTCTTGCCATATATGTATATATATATATATATATTTTTTTTTTTTAATTAAAAAATATTCCAAAAGGACCCTGTATCCAAAGACAGAAGGAAATGTCTAAGACATAAAAGAGTGGATAATGTTGCCCTCTACTGGCAGATAACGGCAACACCCAACCACAGAAACAATCTTGGTCTCATTTTACCATTGCTAAGGAGTTGCTTCTGACTCATAGTGATCCAGTATAGGGTATCTGGGAATGGCTGGTGGGTTTGAACCTGACCTTGTGGTTAGCAGTCCAGTGTTCATCCTACAGTGCCACACCAGAAATCGGTCATCAAGCTGTAGTTAAAAACGGCTTCCAATCGGTTCGTTTCAGCTTGACTCCCTGCTGAGAATTTCCATTTCCACACCTGATCTACTGAATCCATTTTAACAAAATCCCCAGATGATTTGGATCTGAGTAAAACGGTTGATTCTGATTTAGTATATCTGGGGTGGAAAGGGAAATTGTCAACAGGAGTTGAACCAGAATGAACCAGTTCAATGCCCTGGATTAAAACAACTGCATCATCAGAATCTATGTTTTTGGTGTTTTGTTTTTTTTTTTTAACTGTATTCCTGTGACCATTTACAAATAACGTCCAACAAACATGTGATTAAAGAACGTACTTTTTTTTTATGTCTTCGAGCATCTCAGCCAAGTCACCTGTACCTGATCCTGAGACAGAGCAAAACCGGTTGCCCTGTACCTGTCTCAGCTCTGTGCCCTGCCCCTTCCAGGTGCTGTTACACCCACGACCAATGCTACAGCCAGGCCAAGAAGCTAGATAGCTGCAAATTCCTCTTGGACAACCCCTACACCAAGACCTACTCATACTCATGCTCAGGCACCGAGGTTACCTGCAGCAGTAAGTTTATCCCTCCCTGGCCTCTGGGCCCCAACTAGATGTGGGGGAAGGGGATAAGCTTAATGATTGTTGTTGTTAAATACCTTCAAGTCAATTCTGACTCATAGTGACCCTATATAGGGTTTCTGAGGAGTGGGGCTGGTGAGTTTGAACTGCCAACCTTGTGCTAGGACTCCATTGCTGATTCTACAGCACCAGACCAGGACTCTGTAAGACTGATGATTGTCACCATCTATTGATCCCTTTCTTGGTGCCAGGCAGTGCCTTTCTTCTTTCATCCATACACCAACCCTAGGACATAGGGACTCTTATCTCCATTGTGGTGCTGTGATTGTTGGAATCTCAAAGCTGAGTTCAGTAGTTGCTGTTGTTGTTGTTGTTGTTAAGTGTCATCAAGTCATCAGTTCCATCCAACTCAGAGTGACCCTAAATAGGGTTTCTGAGTAGTGGTTGGTAGGTTTGAACCACTGACCTTGTAGTTAGCAGTCTAGTGCTCATCCTACAGCGCCACACCAGGACTTCATGATTTGTCGCTTCTTTATTTAATAAGAATTGCTGAGCGGTAGCATCTCTTTTGCTGTATGAGTCAAGATAGGTTTTATTATGCCCAATTTACAATTGAGGAAACTGAGGATCAAAGAGAGTCACTTGCCCAGAATTACCTAGCTTATAAATGGTCGGGCTAGCATTTGAACCCAATTGCATCTGACTTCAAAAGCTCTGGGCTTAAGCACTGAGTTATGTAGAGATGACAGTAAGTACCACATGACCCTCATGTGCGATATCAGAGAACTCAGTCAGCTTTCATTTGTGCCTTCCTGCCCTGGACTATACAATCCAGGATCGGCCTTGATTACTTCTCTCCTTTCATTCTTCGCAGGCAGCAACACAGAGTGCCAAGCCTTTATCTGCAACTGTGACCGTAGTGCTGCCATGTGCTTTTCAAAGGCCGCATACAACCAGGAGAACAAGAACCTGAACTCCCAGTTCTGTAAGGACTGAGAAGAGCCTTCGTTTACACTCCGCCCGCCATTAAAGCACCTTGTTGAAAGGCCTCGTGTTTGCATATTTGTCTCTAGCCTCAAGACAATACTTTCATGGTGTTGTCAGCTCCTCAATGAGTATCATTTGTTGATGTCGTTGCTGTCGTTTTTGGTTCCGACTCATAGGGACCCTATGCACAAGAGAACGAAACACTGCCTAGTCCGGAAGCAGCCTCACAATCCTCATTGTGCTTGAGTCCATTGCTGCTGCCACTGTGCCAATCAGTCTTATTGAGGCGGATCTTCCTTTCTTGGGGGTGGGGGGTGGTCTTTCTTTTTCACACTAGCCCTCCACTTTACTAAGCATAAAGATGTACTTCTTCAGGGACTGGTCCCTCCTAATAACATGTCCCAAGAATGAGAGATAAAGTCTCATCATCCTAGTTTCTAAGGAGCATTCGGGCTGTAGTTCTTCCAGTACAGATCTGCAAGTTCTCTGGCAATCCACGGTACTTTTAATATTCTTTTCTAACACTCACTGTCCAACTTTCACATGCATATGAGGTTACTAAAAATACCATGGCTTGGGGCAGATGCATCTTAGTCCTCAAACTGAATGACATCTTTCCTCTTAAACATTCTAAAGAGGCCTTATGCAGCAGATTTGCTTAATGCATTATGTCCTTTGATTTCTTGACTGCTGCTTCTGTTAGTGTTGATAGTGGATCCAAGTAAAATGAAGTCTTTGACAGCTTCAAACTTTTCTCCATTTATCATGATGTTACTTATCGATTTAGCTGTGAGGATTTGGTCTCTGATCTTCATCAGTATTTTAAGTCCTCTTCACTTCCAGCCAGCAAGATTGTAGCATCTGCATATTGCAAATTGTTAACGACTCTCCCTCCAATCCTGATGCCACATTTTTCTTCATATAATCCAGTTTTTTAGATTATTTGATCAGCATACAGATTGAATAAGTATAGTAAAAGAATACAATCCTGGTTCACACCTTTCCTGGTTTCAAACCATTCAATATCCCTTTGTTTTTTTCAAACTGCTGCTTCTTAGTCTATGTACAGCTTCCTCATGAGCACAATTAAGTGTTCTGGAATACCCATCCTTCAAAATGTTGTCCGTAGCTTGTCATGATCCACAAAGTCGAAAGCCTATGCATAGTCAGTCAAACACAAGTTAACATCTTTCTGGTATTCTCTGATTTCAGCCAGGACTCATATGGTATCAGCAGTAATATCCCTCATTTTGTGTCCTCATCTGAGTCAAGCATGAACCTCTGGAAGTTCCCTGTCAATTTATTGTTACAGTCATTTTAGAATTATTTCCAGCAAAATTTTACTTGCATGTGATTTTAATGATATTGATGATTTCCACATCCAGTTGGGTCACTTCTCTTTGGAATGGGTGCAAATACGGCTCTCTTCCAGTTGGCCAGGTGGCTGTCTTTCAAATTTCTCCACATAGATGAGTGAGTGCCTCCAGAGCCGCATCAATTTGTTGAAAGATTTCAATTTGTAATCCATTAACTCCTCAAGTCTTTTCTTTGCCAATGCCTTCAGTGTAGCTTGGTCTTCCTCCTTCACCGCCGTTGGTTCTTGGTCATGTGCTATCTCTTCAAATGGTTGAACATCGGCCACTTCATTTCATTACGGTGATTCTGTGTAGTCTTTCCATCTTATTTTAATGCTTTCTACATCGTTGAATATCTTGGCCTTAGAATCCTTCAGTATTGTAAGCCAAGGCTTGACTTTTTTCTCCAGTTCTTACAGCTTGAGAAATGCTGAACATGTTTTTCCCTTTTCATTTTCTAACTCCAGGTCTTTGCACATTTCCTTATAATAATTTACTTTGTCTTCTTGAGCTGCCCTTTGAAAATTTCTGTTCCACTCTTTTACCCCTTCATTTTTTCATTCACTTTAGCATCTCTACACTGGAAAGCAACTTTCAGAATCTCTTCTGACATCAATCTTGGTCTTTTCTTTCTTTGTTTATTGATATTGTTGCCCCCCTTTTATGGACAAGGACCTAAATTCTCTGAGAAGTTAAGTCACTTACCCAAAATGGTAGAGTTAGGATTTGGCCAGGTCTGTCTCATGGCAAGCCCTGGTGACGCAGCGCTAATTATTGGAATGCTAATTGCAAGGTCAGCCGTTCAATTCCACCAGCAGCTCTGTGGGAGAAAAATCTAGCTGTCTTCTTTCATCAAGATTTACAAGTCTCCCTGGCTGGCAGATGTCGGGGACCCGCCTCGACATAGGGGTTCGGTTCACGAGGAGGGGCTACCTGACGGCGATTGCAATATATCAAGACTACACAGAAAGAGACAAAGAGAGAGACAATGAGGCACCCCAAAGCCAGGGTGGATACATCACTGGTGGGCAGGCTTGGGACTACAGGCATCATGGCCTCTGCAGGCAGCAACTCACTGCCCTGCCATCTTTACTGCATGCCTTCTAACCAGTAATGCACCGCAATCTTTACTCCATGCCTCCCAACCAGTAATGCACACCTGGGGAGGCCCGGGCCTCTGTTTTATTTAGGGGAGGAGCTTCACACCAAGCTGGGAGGGACCAAAACAAGATACAGCTAACATCAGTAATTTTCCAGACATTCAGGTAACTTGACATCATACTTCGCTGGTTCCAACCCCAGGCCAGCAACTTAGATTCTCAGGCCCAATTAACATATCTATAGCTCCTGAGCACAGGTGGGGGAAGGTGAGAGTAATGACAAAAGCTTGGGCGGAGTCCTGCTGCTTCGGCTTCTGGGCTGCACCTGGAAAAGGATTAGGGAGGATGGGTTCTTTGTCTATAGAACAAAGAACCGAGAAGTAGCTAAGATATTTTTAGTTAATCCTTTTGGAGAAAGGCTTGACCTTGCAACTTTTAGTCTTAGGCTTTAGGAAAATATCACATTTATCTGTGGATTGTCAAAGGCTCCGTGTATTAATTTAATATATATAACTGAATATTAATATGAAAGCAATTTGTCATTAACTGCCAGTGGCCTCATTTGTTACACTCGGCCCTATAGGGCCTCGAACCTCTGACTAGTCTTACATGGTCCGCAACAAGCAGAATGTGCCCATTAGACATTTAAATGAATAAATGTTTTTTGGTTTGTAGAAAAAAAAAAAAAAGAGTGCTGGATTAAAACACACACACACAAATCATGTTTCTAACAGTAAAAACTAATTAGAAGAAAAAAAATTAGTCTCTGAAATCCTATAAAAGGTCTTTATGAATTAGAATCAAGATTGATCCTGCAAAGGGTCTCCAAAGTAGGAATCAAATGGATGGCAGTGAGTTTGGTTTTGGTCTGATGGAAACAGTTGAAGTCTTACCTGCTAGTTCTCTAGGCCAAGTTTTCCTACAAGTATTTATTTATGTCTGTACTGGCATTGATGGACTGCTAACCAAAAGGTTGGCTGTACAAACCCACCAACCACTCTTGGAAACCCTAAACAGTGTTGTCTGTAAGTTGGGACCAACTCAAGGCATTTAACACCACCAGCGTAGTGGCTACGAATCGAGCTGCGAACCTTAAGGTCAGCGGTTCGAAACTACCAGCTGCTCCACGGGAGAAAGATGAGGCTTTCTACTCCCATAAAGATTTACACCCTCGGAAACCCTGTACAGGGTCGCTATGGGTCGGAACCGACTCGACGGCACTTAACAACAACAACAACAACAACCACCACACTGGCATTGAAGTTCAGCAGAGTGAGTAGGGAGGGGCAGAGGAGGAAACTGAACTCAAAAAGCAAAGATAACCAATACTTATGCTGACTTTGAGAAGCCACCACTAAGCACTTTCAAACTTTCCAAAGCTGACAGAACTGTGGTATGCTGGGAGCCCGTGGGCAGCAAAGGACTCTAGTTTGAAGAGGGTGTGTGTAAGGAACTTACTTTTCTTTTGGTTCACCTTCTCCCTTGTTCCATTAAATTAATATTTATTTACTCTGGACTAGGCAGTGAGTGGGATGCCGGGGAGTCAATGTATTTGGGATTGGCTTCAGAACAATGTGTATGTGCCTGCAGTTTAGCCTTCTCTGTGATTTTTCATCTAATCTTCAAACAGCATCTTTTCAATAAAATAATGATTCTAATGCTGCTAGTTGTCATCTAGTTGATTCAGACTCACTGCTCCAGAGGGTTGTCAAGGCTGTGCCCTTCTGGAAGCAGATCCCCAGGTGGAGAAACAATAATGGCGTTGGAATGTTGTTGTTAGATGCCATCAAGTCAGTCCCGACTCTTAGTAACCCTAGGCACAACAGAACAAAACACTGCCTGTCCTGCACCAACCTCACAATTGTTGCTACATGTGAGCCCACTGCTGCTGCTACTGGGGGTCTTTCTCTTTTTCTATGACCTTCCACTTCACCAAACGTGATATTCGTCTCCAGGGACAGGTCCCTCCTGATAATATGCCCCAAGTATGAGAGATGAAGTCTGTCCATCCCGGCTTCTAAGTAGCACTCTGGCTGTACTTCTTCCAACAGAGATTCATTTGTTCTTTTGGTAGTCAATGGTACTTTTAATATTATCTTCTACAGTCTTCCTTCTTCACTTTCAAACTTCACGTGGATAGGAGGCTATTGAAAACACATAGCTTGGGTCAGGCGCATCTTAGTTCTTAAACTGACATCTTTGCTCTTCAACACTTTACAGAGGTCTTGTGCAGCAGATTTGCCTAAAACAGTAAGTGCTTTCTTGATTTCTTTTTTTTTTTTTTTCATTCCTTTCTTGATTTCTTGACTGCTGTTTCCATGAGTGTAGATGGTGGATTCAAGCAAAATGAAGTCTTTGACAACTTCAATCTTTTCTCCATTTATCTTGATGTTGTTTATTGGTCCAGTGGTGAAGATTTTTGTTTTCTTTATCAGCGTTTAACGCTTTGGGCCACCCAGAGACTCCGCTAATAACCAATTAAATAAACTGAACTGAAAGTAACTGGAAGCTGAAATTGTACCGAAGCAACTACAACATCCTCACAGTACCCAGT